AATCGATTTCACCATGTTCACCAACAATCCTTAAACAATTTAATATACCTTCAGCAAACAAATCAACACTTTTTTCATCAACACTACCAATCCGATAAACAATACATAAATTCATCTTCTGACCTTGAAAAATAGAATTTACGATAAGTGCAGGCCCAACCAAATACATGGATTGTGAAAATATCATATCTATAACTTTCCAACCATTTGAATCATTTGAATCCGGATCATCTAAACTTACATCTACTAAACTATCATTATTATCAGAATCAGGAGAAGAAGGTGTAAAGTTAATAGAAGGAGCACTAGTACTAGGAGATTCAATAATATCATCATGAGGATAAAGAGAAGAATTAAATTGATCTAAATTTGAATATAATATAGAACAAATTTTACCATCACCAACAAGTTTCTTCTGACAATTAATCAATTGTTTTAAAATTTTATCTTTTGAAAGTAAATCCCATAATCCCATTCTATTATTAAATTTTGAAACATCTGAATTAAGTTGATTTTGATATTTGTGACAAAGATTCCAAAAGTAAATGTCTGTGTTATTCATTTTAAAAGAATTATTTGATATTGGTGATGGTGGTGGAAACGGAAAGAATGAAGGTTTTGGAAATGTTATTTTAAATATAGATTCTGCTATGTTGTTACCCATATCAGTCCATGGAATTTGTAGATTTGTATATGAACCAAGGAAAATAGGTGTTAATGTTTTTATGGAATTACAGGATGATGGAAAGAAAGTTTCATCGTTGGTAGTAGTAGTGGTAGTAGTTGAAGAAAGAAGATGATGATATGAAGAAAATAGAATAGCTGTATGTATAGCAGCATCAATTGTGGTATTACGTTCTTTGGCAGCCATTTTTAATTTTCTAACCTCTTCTATGGTTAAAGAAACCAATTTAACCTTGTTATGAAAATGAATCGTATTCCTAGAATTTACATCAACTATCCTATAATGATATTCTCGAAACAAAAAGTTTTTTAAAAATTCACTAATTCCTTTCCTTATAAAATTACATAAAGTTGGTCTTACGTCAACTGCATGTTCTATCAGACCACAGCTTTGAGGGGATCTTTGAATTGGAAGTATAGCATGAGTGTAAGAATCCGGAAGTTTCTTTAATTTTGTTGATGTATTTGATTTATATCTTTTGAAGATTT